GACCTATGATCCAGTCTCGGACCCTTCTAACCTCTTTCCCCAGTAAGTCCCTCCTCTGAGGCCTGTCCCTCCTGAGTTATGGTTCCACACACCCACCCCTGGAGGGCTCTTGTCTTTCCTGACTCTCCTGAACTTGTCCTGCAGCCAGCTTCTCAGGCCTTGGGACAGGCAGTCTTCAGCCCTTCCTCTCTGGGGTACAGACCACCTGGTACTTTACAGGGATTGTCCCTAGGGCCTGTGGTGGCCATGGGCATCAAGGGTGCGTTCTGTGGCCCCAAAAGAGGTATGAAGGAGGAAATAACAATCATTCTTAGCCAGCTCTGGGGGGCAGCCTGGAAATGCTGGGCTGGCAGTGGTGGAGCCAGCACTTCCTCTTTCATTTCCTGCCATTGTTCCCTCCTCTTCCGGGAATTCTCCTGGCCTGTCTAGGAGAACTGGGCTGCCAGCAAGCAAGGCAGAGGTGGCCCACCTTTGCTCTGGGCCTCTGGCCAGGGCTTCTAAGACCAGCTGCAGCCACCACATGGAGCTGTTTGGTCCACAAGACTGTCTGCCTTTCTGTTCCCACTGCTGGGCCTGGCCTTTCTGTCCCCAAGGCTGGAAGCCTCGGAGCTTCAGACAATGCCCACATCTGGAGGGTCCTTTGGGCTGGCTGCTTGCCTACCTGCTTGAACAAGTCACTCTGACCTGCTGCCCAGTGTTCCCATGAAGGACAGAATGGCTCTGATCTCTAACGTCTCATGGACTCATGGGTCCTCCACATTGCTTGGGTCACCATACTAGGGACAAGTGCTGCCTCCATGCTCACCAAGGAATAGACCCCCCAAGAGCTCCTGCTTAGGAAGCTGTGGTGCAGAGCCTACTTGCAGATGTCAGGGGAAAGAGAAGCCCACATTCTGGAAAATATGACCCCTAGCATGGTGAGGGACCTCAGAACCTTGAATGTCTCCTTTAGCTCTTTCTTTAAAGAAAGATAAGTAAGAGAAGGGCTGGAGAGACAGCTCAGTGGTAATTGTCCTTGCTGTGCAAGCGTGAGGACCTGAGTTCAATACCTGAACTCATGTAAAAGCTGGATGGGCAGTATGAATGTCTAATACCGGTGCTCCTACAGGCATATGGGAAGCAGAGATAGGAAAGTCTCCAGGAGCTTGAGGGCCACCTAGCCTGGAGTATGGAGCAGAAAAATAATAAAAGGAAGTCCTGTCTCAACAAGGTAGAAAGTGAGAACTGACAACAAGGCTGTCCTTTGTACACACCCACATTCATACCCACAAATGTACTCTCGCCAGAGAGGGGGGAGAGGACCGGAGGGGAAGGGAGGGAGG